AGGCAACCAAGATACCATCTCAGTGCGCCAAGTATTTTCTGTAAAATGATGCTCGAGAATTGTTTAATGAAGGAATTCCATTCTTAATTTTTCAAGAGCCACAGCAGCAGCGGAGCTAGGGAACGCAAAGAAGTAGAAGCGCACTCACTCACGCACGAGTCGTAGTTCGCAAGTTCATGAACACTCTTTTTTCTGGAAAGAAAAGGCAAAAAACTGGTCAAAGCAACCAGCGATTTGTATGCGTGCGGTGACAGTGGCAAGCCAGCAAAGTGAAGGTGACATGGCATTCTGCTGCTTGCAAACATTGCTTCGTCCGGACCAAACGAAGAGAAACGAAGTTTTTGCAAAGAATCTTAGCTCTTCCGCCTCCCACGTCGAGAGAACAAAGGCCGCAAGAAGTGTCAAAAGGCCACGGCTCGGAAGAAGAACAATTATGTGAGGAAAGCTTGGAGGCAGAAATCGAATAGAATCTAATTATTGCACTTTCCGCCCAATTAAGTATTCTGCTTGAGTACTGCTTGTTTCAGAGCGCTTTCCAGACTCGTTGCAGACACTTGGAGGGCCTGGTCCTTCGTTTGAGCTTGTAGCCGCAGGCTACAACAAATTTAATAAGAGCAAGCTTTTTGATAGTCTTAAGGAGGCACTCTACTATCAGAACAAGTATGGGGGCAAAATCTATACCTTAGATGATGTTGAATATGAAGAGGTGGATGGGCGGGGTGACCCCAAAGAAAGAAACAGAACAACCAAATATTACATAGTGAGCATTTCAGGGCAGAGGCAGTTAATGAACGGGTTTCGGTATATTAAATAACTGCTGTTGCAAAATCATAACTACAGTATGTACGATGCAATGGAGAGGCTTAAAGAAAAGGGCATCAAAGTATATGCTATAAAAACTGATGCACTACACATAGCCAAGACAGACTTAAAGAAGGCTAGGAAGATACTAGAGTTTGGAAGGGAGATTGGCAACTGGAGAGTTGAAAAGATGAGGGTAAAATCTTCTTCTGGCTGGTATGCATGGAAACATAATGAGTTGATAGAAATGCCGGCGTACAAAAATGAAAGTATTGAAGTAGAGGAGGATTGAAACACATAAGAGATATGTAAACACATAATCAGAAAGACGAGGGTGATGATTAGAGCCAAATATGCAGGAAGTGGCAAGAGTTATATAGGCAAACATCTGGAGAAGATGGGCTACAAAACTCTATTTATAGTTCCTCAGAATATGTCGAAACAGGATATTGAATGTGAAGCGGTGACATTGAATGTGTTCTTTGGCATTGGCATTGATAAAACAAACAGCCTACCAAAGTATGATGATTCAGGGTTTGATGCAATAGTCTTTGATGATATCTATATGTCTTCACCTTTCATATTGAACAAGATAAGGCAGTTTACCCTGAAGAATCCTCATAAAATTATCATTGGAGCAGGTGATGTCAAACAACTTCCAAGCATAGAGCCTTATACTAACTGTCAGAATGTTGAAGATTATGTTGATAATTGTATTGATATACTATTTAAACATACCATCTTTTTGAAGATATGTAAGAGAGTAGGGGGCAAAGACACTGAAGCAGGTGAGAGGAACAGGAAGAAATTAGATGAGATATATGATGACCTCTGGATTAAAGACATGAAGATTTCAGATTGGGTAGCTAAGCATTTTAAGTTTACAACTGATATTATGGTGAGTGAAAACAACATAGCTTATACCAACATCAGGTGCCAAGCTCCGGCAAATGAAGCCAGAAAGAGACTAGGCAAGAAAGATAAATATGAAGCAGGTGAGATTTTGATATGCAGACTTTACAGACATGAAAAGGAAGGAAAGTTTAATGTGAATATCAGGTGGAAGATTTTAGAAGTGAAGGGTGGAATGATAAAGATACAGGACATTAAGGATGAAGCCGATGTGAGAGTTATAAGTGAGAAAGTGGCAGACAAGCATTTTAGATATGCATATTGTGACAGGGGACACCAATTGTGGCAATATAACAATACATGAGGGGCAGAGAACAGAGTTGGTGAGCAAAGAGTGGCTGTGGTGTGCTATCACAAGAGCTAGAGATTCAACAATGTATATTTCTTTAAGAATGCAAAAGCAGATGGAGATGTTTAAGAATTTGGTGTTGAATTAGTTTAAGGGAAAATGTGAATGAAGGATACAAAGGACAAGATAGAGCCAAAAACAGAGAAGTTGATGATGACATTTATGTTGATGAAAAGCGGTGCTTGAGACATTTTAGAAGTTGCTGTTGCAACTGTGGTGTGAAATTTTGTTTGGACACTAAAGGTGGAAAGCTAACTACAAACTTCACAGCACAAAGGATTGACAATGAGTTGGGACACAGTGTTGGTAACTGCATCCCTTACTGTTACAATTGTAATTGTTCTGCTCACTAAAAAAACTATAGTATAAAAAAACTATAGTATAAATTAATAAGTTCTAAACAGGATATTATAGCAAATACTATTTGTTAAATTTCTTAATTTTAAAATTTTTAAATCATCTTCAAATCTGGTGATCTCTGAGAACAGTCCGATTTTTATGTTTTAAATTTTTTAAATTTTTGGAGGCTCCAAATAAGTTAAAAAAATCAAAAATAAAAATCGAAATCTTATATATGTTTTAAACTTTTTAATTTTTTCAAGGCTCCGAAAAATTTAAAAACTAAAGAATTAAGATTTTTTAAAATTTTTTGGAGCCTCCGAAAATTAAAAATTTTAAAATTTAAATCGTAGGACTGTTCTCAGACATCTCCAGATTTCCAGATGATTTAAACATTTAAAAAATTTAAAATATCGAAATCTTCTTTATTTTTAAAATTTTTTAAATTTTTTAAGGCTCCGAAAAATTAAAAGAAATTCAAGAAATTTAAATCGCAATCTTTTTTTTTAAAATTTTTTTGGAGCCTCCGAAAATTTTAAAAAATTAACAAATTTAAATCGGACTGTTCTCAGAGATCACCAGATTTCCAGATGATTTAAGAATTTTAAAAATTAAAAAATTAAAACATATAAAAGATTGCGATTTAACTTTTGAAAATTTTTGGATTTTTTCGGAGCCTTGAAACATTTAAAAGATTTAAAAAATATAAAAGATTTCAATTTATATTTTTCAAATTTTTAAATCTTTTAATTTTTTTAATTTTAAATCATCTGGAAATCTGGAGATGTCTGAGAACAGTCCTACGATTTAAATTTCCAAATTTTCTTAAATTTTTCGGAGGCTCCAAAAAATTAAAAAAATAAAAAATATAAAAGATTGCGATTTAGATTTTTAAATTCTATAAATTTTTCGGAGCCTTGAACAATTTAAAAAATTATAAAATATAAAAGATTTTGATTTATATTTATAAATTTTTTCGGAGCCTCCAAAAATTTAATGAATTTAAAACATTTAAATCGGACTGCTCTCAGAGATCACCAGATTTCCAGATGATTTTAAATTTTTAAAAGATTATTTTTTTAAAAAAAAATTAAAAGTATAAAAGATCGCGATTTAAATTTTCTAAATTCTTTAATTTTTTCGGAGCCTTGAAAAATTTATAGATTTAAAAAATATAAAAGATTTCGATTTATATTTTAATTTTTTTAAATCTTTTAATTTTTTTAAGGTTTTAAATCATCTGGAAATCTGGAGATGTCTGAGAACAGTCCTACGATTTAAGTTCTTAAATTTTTTAAATTTTCGGAGGCTCCAAAAAATTAAAAAAAATTAAAAATATAAAAGATTGCGATTTAAATTGTTTACTTTTTTCGGAGCCTTGAAAAATTTAAAACATATAAAAGATTTCGATTTATATTGTTAAATTTTTTAAGTTTTTCGGAGCCTCCAAAAATTTCAAAAATTTAACAAATTTAAATCGGACTGTTCTCAGAGATCACCAGATTTCCAGATGATTTAAAAAATTAAAAGATTTAAAAACATTAAAACATATAAAAGATTGCGAGTTAATTTTTTTTACATTTTTTAATTTTTTCGGAGCCTTGAACAATTTATACAATTTAAAACATATAAAAGATTTCGATTTATATTTTCCGAAATTTTTAATTTTTTTAAATTTTAAAGTCATCTGGACATCTGGAGATGTCTGAGAATTATTTTTTTTCAATTTTCGGAGGCTCCAAAAAATTTAAAACGTTTAAAACATATAACAGATTGCGATTTAAATTTTTTAAATTTTTAAATTTTTTGGAGCCTTGAACAATTTATAAAATTAAAAAAAATATAAAAGATTTATGAATTTAACACATTTAAATCGGACTGTTCTCAGAGATCACCAGATTTCCAGATGATTTAAAAAATTAAAAAAATTAAAAAACTGAAAAAATGAAAACATATAAAAGATTGCGATCTAAATTTAGAAATCTGAACATACCAGACGACAGCCCAATTTAAATACTCTATTTTTGATATAGTAGTTATATATAATTAGTAATTTATATATTTAATTATGTTAGCTTAAATTATCTCAAGGCAGACTGCGCGGCACATAGGGTATACTCTTCCCTCTTACGGGGGGGGGAGGGGGGAGGTCAGGTGAGACCGTTCAAAAATCCGCCCGGGGGAGCACTAAAACAGACAAGACATAGCTTAACAAAGAACTAACAAAAAACCAACTACCCAAAACACGCCGTGCCCCAGGGCCGGCGGATTCACTTCATAGGGTCATGTCTATTCAATGAGCACGTCAAGAATCAACGGAAAATTGAATTTTGGATGTGCATGTCACAAAGAATTTGGCGTGATTGTTTTGTTGATGTTGTTTGATTTTGGTGTACATTTTAGAGAGGCTTGGGGTACGTTCATCAAAGATACTTTGAAGGTGGTAACATGTTTTGCTAGTGTCTAAGAACCTGGTATCCATTTTATGGTGACATTTTTGTGGTCACTGATTGCATATACCTTGAGCCTGGATTTTCATTTCATAGAGACTATGTATGTAGCTGGGTGTGTACGAAGTTCTTGCCAGCAAAAAAGACAGGAACCTGGATAAGGAGGCGGACTTCAGGTCCAGGTCCGCGCTTTGTCGATCCAATCCAGTAACTCTTTGTTTGAGTTGAAGACTCAATTCCCTCTACCGGGTGGGCACAGTCGAAGTGTTGAAGTGATGAACATGGGTCAGTGTTTGTTTCGGCTGCCTGGGAACGGGTCCTGGGTTTGGTCCAACTTGGGTCCAATGCAGCTCAATGATGATTCAGCAACAAATTATATACTGGGATTTGGTGGAATGTATGTCATTTTGTTTTAACAGCCACGTTTGGTGGTATGAATGCTTTGGGAGAGATCTCTGACTGGTGACTGGACTTGTTCAACCCGGCAGGTTCAACGGCACCCTGCCAGAGTGGGCCAGGACGAGTTCAGGCGTCGCCGAGAAGCGTCCGTTGGGGCCAGGAGGTGTGGAACTTGGTCTTGAGATGTCTGACTGTGGGTCATTCCCACGCAACACTTTCATGAAATCATAGAGTTCCCTACTATGGAAGTTTTGTGTAGAACTTTTGCCTCAAAAACAGGTGACCTCATCCTGTTGCTATTTACCAAGTGGGTGTCGAACTTACCGGACTTTGAACGTGTTCCTCCAATACAATGTCATCTAGATAGTGCATCTCAGTACTGGATGTTTCTTTCTACACCCAAACGAATCGAACAAACCACCCAAGACCATTCGACCCATCCAACCGCGGCCTTCCTGGTCAGGTGGCCACGGCGCGAAGGCCACGGCGACCTCGGGAGGCCACGTGAGGGGGGGTTCTCGGTTCGAGACTCGTCGGGTGGGTGTTGGTTTGACGGTGAAGAATCAAGGACTTAGACGGACAAGCACAGCTTTTGATTGTTTGTGACATGTGTTTTGCTCGGATAACACTGGAGTTTTGCTGTCATTGTTTGTTCGGAGAAGTCACAAGTCCCAAAGCATGGCCAGGAGCCGTGGATGGAAGGAGCTGGGCCGCGTGAAAGGTGACTCAGGCAACATTGATATAAGGCAGGCCTTATCTATCCTATTTTCAAAAAGACAACATCTGTGAGGTTCTTCTCAGGAAGGATAAAAGGAGTTCCTTGGAAGCCGGTGACATAACGGTCGAAAGCAGGCAAAGTTGAACTCGAAAGGAGAGAGATGTCAAGCTGAGCCCATGATTCAACATGTTGCCTGTTTGTGTTTGTGAGAAGTTCATCCGGGATACGATGAGCGCACCTTATTTCTTGCTCAGCGATCAGAGCAGACTCTTTTGACTCTTTTTGGGTCATTTTTTCGACCGCTTTCCAGGAGGTCCTCTTGGCATGAAGGCAGCAGAATACCTCACGCCAGCGTGTCTACCTCACTTTGTGGTTCGATCCACCTGAACGGGAGGATGATTGGGTGACCCTGAAACCATTCACCGCTGGGTTCACCAAGGAGTTCCGCGCCACCACGCATCGTCCCAGTGGCTCTGTACCGTGCAGGGCCTCAGGGAAATCCAGATTCCCGAACGCCTGGAAGGGATGTTGACCATTGATAATTCACCACGAATCTCTGAGAATCTGCAACAGCTGTCACATCGGAGAGGTAAGTCTTCAGTCCTAAGAGTTCATTCACAGTCCTCCACGCCAAGACACCCAGGTTCAGCCATGACGCCACCGGCCTTTCCTCCCGGCATGAGAAAAGCCACGCAGGCGGAGATGTCGAAGGTCACGAACAGGGAAGCAATGGGGCTTCTTCACCAAGGTATTGGGGTACACGGGAAAACCAATATGCACACCCAGCAATCTTGGCAGGTATCTGGGACTTTGACACCAGGCAAGAGCCAGCGCGATCGTTGATGCCGGGCTGTTTCATCTCTAGCCAGTGGAGCCCACCATGGTACAGGTACGTGTCTGCAGCACTGCAGGATGGAGGCGGCACATATGGACATAGTATCTATGTATATATATATATACACAAACTTTATTATTTGAATCTAGTTTACTAGACCGAAGCACAACTAGATGGGGCAAACTGCACCACTCAGCAGTGATTGCTTCACAGAAAGACAGTGATGGCTTCCATCTGGCTTCAAGTTCGGACACCTTGCGTTTCCTGGCGACCTCGCTTTGTGACATCGCTGTGCCTTGAAACCGCTGCCCAGACCGAGCGATCAGCCCCGTCCAGAGCGGCCGAAGGCTGGGACGGGGTAGGACTGGTAGGACTGGTCGTCGTGACAGTGCTACCTCGTTGGTGTCACTGGTGCAGCTGATGGTCAAGTTGACCAGAGAATTGACAAGGTGAGCTTGCTGGGTGAACAAGAAGTCGCGATAGATGAGACACTCACGTTGGCTGATGACAATCTGAACAGTGGAGGTTCGAGAAGAAAAGGAATGCAGTACGGAGCCGTTTGTACTTTGAGTGTTCATCATTTCAGTCCAGAGTACAGCGTGTTCAAGATCTGTGAAGGGATAGAGATGGTGGATAGAGGTGCATCCTGTCTTTGTATATCTTTGCAGGCTTCATCTCAGCGCTACCCTTCGCTCCTTGGCGCACGGGCGTCGCGGCGTTCGTCCAAGAAGATGATTTTTAGGGCGCTGATTTCAGGACTTTCGATTCCAATGGCTTCCATTTGGTTTCCATCCATTCGCTTTGTTTTCGTAGATAGAAGCGCATCAAAAGAGTGCTTTGCCCAATAGAGGCATTGTCTTGAGATCGGGCCACCGTTCGACCATGAAACTTTCGTGAATGTTAGATGTGCATGGTCAAACAGCTCCGATGGCATTCATCCACCTCTCACAATTGCCCCCATGATAACCCTTCCAATTGATGTGCATTGTATTGTATCTGATCAAGAAAAACACCTTGAACCTTTGCTTCTTTATGAAGGTCACCTCAATAGGTTTTGCCGCTCTTTTCCCTTTGGGCTCCATTCCGAGGACCGGTGATGCAGCCAGACCATCAACGGCTTTCGCAGAGAGCCGGCCATGGCATCTCGGTGTGTTTGAGTGCAACGGGGTCGATGTTCTAACTAGGTTCGGGTCTGCGAGAGGGAGTCACAATACTGGTGGGTGGTAGAAACGTTGCAGACAATCCTTGCCCTGAGGCCATAGGCTCCTTTTTGTATTAAGAGGACAACTGCAAGCGGCTTTGTGTTGTGAAGTGTAGTTCCCACGTTTTGGTCCTTGCAGACGATGATTGCGCAGTAAATACTGCAAATTGTTTGATCAAATTTGCAGATCAACCCTTGGAACAAGCAAAGCTTTCATCTACATTATGTAATAAGGTTGTTTCAGGACACTGCTTGCCACAACGGCATTGGTGAAGTAAGTCTTGGGAGCAGAGCCAAGGATGGGCTGCAACTTCAAAGAAGAAGCGATCCTGGAACATTTTCATTCAAATTTCAACTCAAGGAATACATAGAAGTCCACAGATCCTGGTGGACCCCCACCCCTCATCCTTCTTCATTTTAAGGTGCAGGTACTAGTAAGGCCGAGTTGAGAGTTTGATCCCCACGTTGGCTGACTGGACAGTGCTGGTTCTCAATCTGCAGCCAGGAAAATCTGAAAACAGCTGAACATTGCCAAGTTGTTGGAACCTACACCCAAAATAGGTTGATGTTCCGTCTCACCCATGTAGTGGTCCTCAAGTGGGGTATATAGGGGGTTCAGGATTTTCCGTTCATGTTCCAGAAGGAATTCCATATTCACATCAGCTGTCTTTTTAGGAGTACAAACTGCTTTCGCAGGGTCACATGAATTGGCGTCGCGTCCAGGTACGAGACGCTCCCGGAGCAACAAGGGTCACACTTCACTTGGCAGCGCCTGCGGGTGGTTTGGGATTGCGTGGTCTTTGGGCTCGTGCGGCGAATGCCTTTGACATCAATTGTGTCTCACCAACTGTGTGGGCTTTGTCTCACTCAGTGAACGGACCCGCACCATAGTCAAGGGTCTTTAATCCCTTATTGACTAGGAGACCAACACCTTCAGTGGCCCAACCCCCTTTGGTGGCCCAAGCACGTTGAGCCAGGAGTGAGAAGTCCAAGGCATTTCGCCCTGAAGCCAAGGCGCCCAAGGCGGGTCGCAGCATGGCCTTGGCTGGTTGAACATGAAAGAGGTTGCGACAGACCACCGATGCTTTCACAGCTCAACACTTTAAGCAACCTGGTTTAGAACGCCTGAAAACCTGCTGTTGGTGCGACCCTCGGTGTCCCTGATTCACTGTATTCAGAGGGAACTACAGAGAATGACCTTTTCGTTCTGTTCTTTAGGTGCCTCAACACCAAAGCCAAGCGGCTTGGTGGGCTTAAAGAGGTCAGCTCTGATGGGCCCAGTGGCCAGGCGCCGGCACATGGCGTGCATAGCACGGTGCCCCTCACCGAGCGCACCTTGCGGACAGGTCACGGGCGGCCAGCGGGTCAAGGATAGGGATCCTTTGGGCACTAATAGCGATGGCCTCCAACCTAATGGCGATGGCCTCCAACCTAGTACCAAACCTTATGGGTAAACAGATGGAGATACTCGAAGACATGCCGATTGAACATCCTGGTCGCAAGTATGTTTTGGCTGTTCCTGTCAATGCTCGATTTTCCCCAAAATTGTGTGGTTAGGGCAACAATCCTGGATTTCACCAAAAGAGGCACATGGAATCTTCCAAATATATGGAACTATTTAAAGATCCTTGATCCTTGATGACCTCTGTGTTTTCCGCCTGTTCGAGTTATTGCCACTTTCCCTGCTTTGGAGCTTTCGCCACTGATGTTTCTGTAGACACTGTAGAGGTGGCGCTTCCCACATCTCTGCGAACTTTGTGTGGGGGACCTCGATGCACCCCCTCCTGTTGAAGTTGACGTCCGCTTTGGTTTGGAAGCAGGCAAGAGGTATGTACTCTAGATAGCCAAACTTCCTCGTGTTCTCCGGCTGCTACTCTCCCCAAATCAAACGTATCCCCCTAAAGTGGATTTTTTTTGTTTTTTTGGTAACGTTAGTCGACAGATGCTGAAAGGGCACAAGCCCAAGATTTCCAACAAATCCATGTATTTGCATGAAGCTTCAACCAGACACCACTCACCACATTGAAATTATCCTCTTCAAGAACAACATTGTAAGACACTTCGAACCAAAAAGCACTCCGTAGTGCTTCACAGTGTGTCAACCAGTCTCTGACCATTGAGTGTCCCTGCATTCCGTGTCTCGTTGTGAGCATCTCCTTGGCCCAAGTTTTTCGCGATTTTCGGCCGAGTGGAGCTGCTTGCTTCAGCAATGAGTGGCAGCGGCCTCACCATGGGCGGACTCCAAGTCCCTCCGGCTGCGCCCGTTGCGCTGGTGACAAAGCGATCTGCGGCCAGCCGCGCCCACGGTGTGTCCGGCCCGCGGTGGGGAGGGGTCTTCGGCCTCGAAGCGACTCGAATGACCGCGCCTTCGACCTGTTTTGTCTTGTCCCTTTGGGCCGCCGCCTTGGCACGCCCGAGGCGGCGGATGGCTCGTCTTGCGAGCGATCGCGATGAGGTGGAGGTGACCACTGCAGATGGCGTTGCCTGCGCAAAGTTCGTTTTCTCGGCCAAGACTGCTTGTATCCATCCAGAGAGGAAGGCTCCGTACTTGTGCGGAGATTGCCCTCGAAATGGCAAGGCATTGAACCCAGAGGTCTGCGCAGCTGCCGCTTTGGTCTCCTCAGCCAAGTCATCATGTGTGCATCCAGAGCGCAAACCGCCTTACTTGTGCGGAGATTGCCCACGAAATGGGATGACTGCAACCTTCGATGACGAGAAGGTGTGCGCAGTGGCCGCCTTCGTGTCATCTGCAAAGTCCCAGTGTGCCCATCCAGAGAGAAAGCCTCCATATCTTTGTGGAGACTGCCCCCGGAATTAGTGGCATGGGCACAGCACATTGAAGCCCATCATGGCGAGCCTGCGTGGCGAGGCTGCGGATTCCGTGTGGAGCCATCAAGATCTTGAGCGCCTTGCCACGGTTGTGGGTTCAATGATGTGGGTCAAACGGAAACACCAGAAATCATACTAGGTGAGCCAAACTCCCATCATTCGCTTGATTCTTGTTGTTTTGTTCAAACAGGGATACAGGGTTTGATCCACCAGATGTTTTCACCGGCTTTGTATAGAGGATTAGCTGCAGCTTGAAAGGCAGACCCAGCTTGAGACAACTCGAAAGAGAAAGACCAAAGATTAGCGAGCGCCGCTGCAGCTTGATGCCGGGAATCCACCGAACTGGTGGGGGACGAGAGGAGACGGATCCTGTTCACCTAAGGGTTCGGTGATGTGTCAGATCCCAGTGCCATCAAAGCTGACGAACTACGTATATACTTGGAATCATACAACTGTCCAAGTGAATTACACTCAGTTGAATCCTTTTCCCCTTGACTTTTCTTTTTGAGAGCCCGACCCCAAATTCACATGGGCCATAAATATTTTGACAAAAAGGTCCAACATCTAGCTTGAGTTGCTAGAGGTCCAAGCCAGTTGCTGGGAGGTCTTCCTATTTTACACAAGACATCCGCAACTGTTAGGTCGGAGGTCAACATCGCTCTTAGGTTGGAGGCCATTAACAGCACTTTGCGGCGCTAAGGAGACAGGAAGCTCCACATCGTGCGGAGGTGACCGAGGCCTGGTTGACATGTGAAACCGCTAAATCCGAGGAAGGAAGACACCGAATTCTCCAGCCGAAATGATTTCCTTCCAACAGCAGGAACCGGACCTTATGTTCCTCCCAAGGGTTCAAGGCTCTCACATGTGGAGAGATCCACATATATATATATATGTATAAATACAATTAACACACATTTCGCTTGGTAACGCAAGCTTGCACTGGCAGCTCGTGCAGGACATGACATCAAGCAGGGGTGCAGAATACACACATCATGAAAGATCATGAACCATGGACCATGCCGACTAGACTGTACATGGTACATGCTCTAGACTTTTTGCAAGGATACGGCAACTAATGTAAAAAAAGAACGGGTTCTGTTGCAAACAAATGTATAAGCCTATAAGTAGCCTATAAGTATCCCCCAAAAAACATAATCCAAGAAAAAGTGGACACTCCAAGACCATCGGTGAAAGAGGTGGTTTGACACCCACAGCTTTCTCGATGCACTCTCAGGCTCCGGGTGACCGGGATCGGCTCCGGTCGGGCACTGATGGTGGGGGCCTCTGGGAGTGGTAGATCAAGCGATGCTCCGGACCAACCTGATCAGTGCAGTTCATGGTTAATTAACATTTTTCTGTTTAAACCTACTTTCAAGAGTTGATGCTTGGGCCCATGCTCCACTATTTGCTTTTGGGCCTTGGACACACCAAGTCAGGTATGAACCGCACGCACGTGACAGCCTCCAACTTTGCGTCAAGGGCCTCGGGCAGTTGGATCAGAGTGAACAACTCGTCACATTGCAAGGGATAAAGGGTCTTCCATTTGTGGTAGAAGAGAGTCGCGCTGTTCTTTCATTGTGGTCCTCAGGGATAGCACGAAGAGCCAGCCCTCCAGGCGGGTGATGTTTTCAACAGAGGGCAGTGAAGATGGATTCCGCAATCACCACCTCCATCCGGCAAATTCTGTTTGAGTCAAAGACGTTCAAAGTGCGGTACAACCGGCATGTTTTTTGCTTCGCATATTTAACCTGTAAAGGGTATGTCGTGCCGGGGTTCTCACTAGGCTATCCTTACCCACAAGAGCCCCAAATTCCTGGCAGACACTCCTTTTATCAGATTCCAAGGTTTTCTCAATCTTTCCAATCTTAGACGGTTTTCCAAATGAAGATCCCGTTTTTCAATCTTCTGTTTTCAACGCCTCCCCCAGGCGACCAGCGCCTCGCGACCAGCCCCAGCAGCCCCGTGGGCGGCCGCCATGCATCGAGCGGGGTCCTGGCGCCGAAAGTGATCATCCTAAGAGAAGGCTGACAAAGAAGAAGAAGAAGCAGAAGAAGAATAAGAAGACGCACAAGAAGAAGAATAAGAAGAAGAAGAAGAAGAAAAAGAAGAAGACGAAGCAGAAGAAGAAGAAGACGAAGCAGAAGAAGAATAA